CCAAAAAAACCTCAAACCAACAAAACCAGAAACACCCACAAAAATCCAAGAACCCCCATACCAGGTCATTAAGAGGTACCTGAGACATGACCACTAACCATTGTGTCTGCATCCATGAAGACGCATTTTGAAAACTGTGTCAGTTCCCAGCAGTGAAGCTTTGTTAATGTGACACCCAGCTCAGGTCTTTTCATTAACGCCAAGTGTGCTGAATCCCCACTATCCAAGACGTTTACCAATATGACTTCATCAAAGACTTTTTCCAGCACTCTCCTGGGGAAAGAGTCAATTGCCAAGAGGTAGTTCTATTGTTATTCCAGCACCACACCATGTGACAGATTCCACAAAAAACAGTGGAATAACAGGGAAGCTGGCAGTGTTTCTTGTGCCAGGTAGAGAATCTTGACTGCATGTGTTGTCACGCACAAGGACACCTGCCTGCCTCAAGGTTTCTAGTTTGTAATGGGCACATTTTGGGAAACAAAGTTTGTTTTTTTTTTTTTCTTCCACAAGCAGGGCTTCGGCTGCCATTGCTACCAAGTCCAGTAGGTCATGGCTACATAGTACAATTTTTCTGCACAGCTTTTTTGCAACCAGACTCTGATTTTTGGCAAGTTAACAGTCTACTTTGAGCAGGCAATTAAAAAATGGGGAGCTGTTAGAGTAGCTTGACCAGTATAGTAGCTGTATTCTAAACAGTTGAAACAGAAGTTTATGCAATAGTTACAACAACACTGTCCTGGATTTGTGACTGTTAGGGACATCTGATTAGACCCAGTTGCTACAGCTTTCTTTATCCTAAAGTTTTAAAAAGTCACTTAATAATGGCTGTGGGTACAGCAGTGTTTTGACCCAGTATCATATTCACCTAAGGGTGAAAAACTTTCAGACATTGTAGTGAAATCCTGTGGCAGATTTCCAAGCTTTACTTTACCATCAGTAAAGCATTACCATTAGTTCAAGAGAGGTTAAGGAGTTCATGCTGCTTAAAACATAAAGCAACTGTATCTCGCTCTTCTACAGCGTATCTTGAATGCTCAGCAATTAATTATCAATTTGAGCCACGAAGCTTGTAAATGAGTTTTAGAACTCTGCCTTGCAAGGCTGTCTATACTGACAGTTTGGTACGGACAGTCGCTTCTGAACTTAAGATGTATGTTGTTAGTGGGCACAGTGAGGCAGTTCCAGTTACACCACTAGGACAGTAGGCATCACTGGTCTGAGGGCATAGTACTAGCTGGCTTGCACTAGCATATAAGGACACCTATGATTCATCTTAAAAGAGCACACTCACCTAATAGACCAGAATGGATGTTCCTATATGTAACATCTTTATAAGGTTGTTTAGCTGCCGAGAGACTCCAGGGAGAGTCACTCCATTTATTATTGGGCTGCTTCTCCACTGTCTATAAATTGAGAGATCTTTTCAGAAGAACTTCCCTGTGTAGAGAATCTTGACCTACCATCTGTAGTTCATGCAGCTATTAAGTTAACTGGGTTTCTACCTTCCTCTTACATGTGGAAAGAGCACCCAGTCCACTTCATACTGAGACTATTCTAGAGAGGCTTTTGGAAGTGGTTGCCTGTTAATTTGTTGTACTATGGTGACCTCATGAGATGCCTCTGTTGATCTGCTGATTTGACATACTCAGTGCTACTTTAGTTCTGCTCATTTTCTTCTCTCATGATAAAAATTGATTTGAAGTGTCTGCTAGACTTCAAAAGAGCTTGTGCTATATTATCTTAATCAGGAATGCTTCTGCATGACAAATAAATACCAATCCCCTACTCCCACCTCCACATGCATACACACAGCACTAATGAACTCACAGGCAATATTGTATTGTTGGACAGTTCTAAGTAGGACTACAAAAGAACAAAGATCCAGTTGAAATATCAAGTCACAGTTTAGTGCTCTAACTACAGAGTATTTGTTAACTCATCATATGGAAGAAAAAAAAAAACACCCCACAACCAGTTTCATGTTTGAAGAACTTACAGAATTCTAGATAAGTTGAAATTTGCTAAGCTTAGCTGTTAGGATTCTAGAGTTTTGGAAGGTTACTATTAAGGAATTTAACTTCCATTTTTCAACCTTCACATCAGCAGGAACTGTGGCAGTTTGAAGTACATAAGTGACCTTACCTCATAAGATCTGAGACCTGAGGAGTTATGAGTGCAGTCAGCTTCCTTGTTGTTCTGTACTGTTGCAAGGATGAACCAAGTACCAGTGCTCCTTTCACATAGGAGTCATTTGTGGCTAGAGTCACAAAAGACTGGTCTGGAAGAAATGAACTTGGTCAAGTTAGCATGATCCACTACTTGATTTTGAGACAGATATACTAGAAACCTAGTATTGTTAGGTAATCATGCTGTGAGACCTCTAAGATGTGCCCTTTAGCTCTGTGTATTGGGCCTGCCTACATGGCTGAATGAAGCAGATTATGCTTGCATAGCTATACCGGCTATTAACTTGACACATGGCAGAATGCAGTAAAAGACACAAAATTGAGACTTGTTGCAAGAGAAAACCAGTTCTAGTTTGCCCACAGGTTAAATAAGTCATGCCAAACGTTAGAGACAATCCAAAAGGTTTGAAGAGCCTTATTCTGGCCATTAATACACTATATTTAAGCTAAAAGTACTGGGAGTCAGTGAGCTTGCATTTGGTCTAAAGTTAGTAACAGTAGCTTTGCAGAGTTACTCTAGGTTCAGCTCTCAGCCCTGAAGCTAGGGCAGCATAAAACTGTTTCATTTTCAAATGAAAGTAAACATTGAATTAGATCTTGGACAACAGTATTAAGTTTTGCTAGCTCAGGATTTTGCAGATGAGTTGTTCTGCAACCCATGGCTGCAGCTCTATCACAAGAATGCAAGATTTAAATGGGAAGTAACCAGTAATACGATAAGCAATTTAAGACTTGCAGCAACAGTTTTTGCTCTTCAAGCAAAAAGAGTTAAGGTTGAATTGTTACTATAAAGTATAATTTGCTCCAGCTGTACCTTAAAAATAAATGAAGATGGATCGCTTTGCCACATACTGCTAATTGAGGCCATGTAATATAAGCTTTGCATTCTTGCAATTGTCATGTTGTGTTAAACTGCCAGGGTGGGACTGACAAAAGCAAACAAGTAACTTCTAAACTTCTACAGTTCACTGTTAACTATCATCATGTGGACTGTTAACTATAATCATGTTGTACTCCTTTCCAAGCTACAGGGCTTTATAAAGTGTGCTCTTTTCCACCCAGCCATTTTTAACACCATCAACAAAGTAGTTTCCTCCTAAGAATTTCAAGAGTAGATTTGCACTTTTAAATTTATTTTAACAACTGTGTTTTCTTTTCTTTACAGAAGTTAACTAGGTTAGATCGGGATTGAGAGTGATGGTTCTGGACACTTAAAGGCTTACTATCAAGTCTCGTAGTAAAATTAAAATAGTGACTGCACTACTTTCAGAGAGATTGTCAAGACAGTCATCATCAAGATCATTTTAACTTAATACCATCTTATCAGTTGATGACAGAAAGTCATATTTCATAATTGTCTATAAGCTCTGCAGACCTGGTTTGCAAGCTCTACAGACCAGCTACAAAACCTTCTATTTTGCTTAGCAGCAAAACCAACTAGTCCCAAGGGATTTAGATTATAGTGGTCAATTACAAAGTTCAAAAAAGCTTCTATAATGCCAGGAATAAAGATTTTTTTTTTTCCCCCCAATTCACTTTAGCTACCGATTTGAAATAGTTCATATAATTCAACAAATCTACAGAACAATTTTGCGTTTCTTTGAAGCTTTACAAACAGCAAGTGTGTAGCATTTTAAGCGGTGTGAACATCCTCCTAATAGGGCTGCATTTTTCATTACTTAATTTGCACGTTACTCCTCAATTACTCAATACACAGAAGTCTGCCACTCTGTGCTGACAGACAGCTCACTAAAAATCCAGTGTAGACACTTGTGCTCATGTTGGTGGTTTTTTTTTTTTCTTTCCCAGAAGTGTAACACTAATTCTTAAAGTGACCTTGCCACTGAAAGACTAGTCTTTTTGATTAAACTGTTACAGGTATACATCTACCACACCTTGTCATCCTACTGAAACTATTTGCACACAAAGGTCTTAAAGAAATAATGCCAATTTAATGGAGTAAAGGCTAAGCAGCCCCCTATTACATCCCAACTGCAGCAGGAAACTTTATGACTGCTTGACAGGAGGAGGATATGGGCAACTTGGAGACCATCTAAGTCAGTACAGCTTTCCAACGCTCTGAATAAGCTATGTCCTATTTCATACCTTCTCTAAAACACATGCAGACATGTTACGTGTGAGCCCATACCACACAATAGGCAAGACCAGTTGCTGCTTAACATTGAAGTTACATCTGCAAGAGACCGGTCCATTCTACCTAAGCCACAAGTATTGCAGTTACGTGGGTTCTCCCTTCCCATCTCTCCCCCTTCTCCATAAACATTTCCTCCACAGTAGGTCATGTTCACACAGCAGTCACTGTCACTGCCTAAAACATACCGAACTATTAGTAACAGTGTGGCTGCAACAACACAGAGAACGTGAGACAGTTGCACAGCTTCATAATTGATTTATTCAGATAAAACCGAGCTACCTCAGAGACATCTTTGGCTGCCGAGTTCACAGGCTGCGGTGTCTGTATACCTCGTACTAGCCCCTGCGCGCCTGAGAGCATCCTGGGATACTCGGCCAGTGGCAATTTCATCTGACACGTGCAGGAGGGGACTGGAGTGCTTTCCCCAGAACAATTCCCCCGGCCGCATTTTCCCAGGCATAGCCGGAGTTCACAAGTGTTAGCCTGTTCTCCTGTTCTCCGAGTTAAGTACTAATACATCCGACTTCTTTTTTTTGAGTATAGGATTCTTAAAGAGACAGGAGCATCTAATTAAGACGTGCATCGGGAGGCAGACTTCCTACAGCCTTCCAGATCTCAAAGCGAAACCGACTCCGTGCACGGCTTCAGGTAAAATGCGAATCGGGGAAAAAAAAAAAATCCAGAAGAAAAAAGCCAAACATACTTGGAGAGGGGGTAGGGAATTGCTCATTGCGAAGTATCAAAACGCGCCGAAGTTACACGCGCCCTTCAGCCTTTCAAAAGAGGGCTGGGCTCCCCCCTTCCCGCCGCCACATCGCCTTCCCGAAGGACGGAGCCCTGGGCCGGGCCTGTCTCTTAT